TGTAGAGAAGTTTTTTTTAAAAATAAAATATATCTCTTTAAACTGTTTTTAAACTATAGTTCTTATAAAATACAGAAATGAGTTTAAAAAAAAACAATACTACTGCAACGAATATCAAACTAAATTGAACATAGGTTTTCAAGTCGAACATCTCTAAACCTCTTGTGTTGCCAAGTTGGTGTAACACCCTCCCCCTTTCCTTCCCTATTTTCACAAAAGATTTTGGACCAAAGCGCACTGATCATGTTATAACCATGAAAAAATAAACTAAAAAAAAGTAATAAAACAAATAATGTAAGGTTGATATAATTTTAAATGTGTAATATTTTTTTTCATTATGTTTCCCTAACGAATAATGAGAAGTTAGAGGGAGTACAAGACAGACATTCTATTACTTTGTCTTCAGTCATATATTAAATGTTTACTGTCACTTGATTTTAAAGAGAATTGTTAAAATAATCTTGAGAGAATCCTGCTAGACAAATATAATCAAATAAATGTTTGGGTGTTAAGGCTTTTATCATCTCCAAGAAGGATAACAAAAAACAAACTTTGGCTCATTGTAATAATAGATCTGTTCAAGCAGAAAGGAAATATGGCCCTATACCAGTTAAAAAGAATTCTGAAACAGGAGATGGGGCTTATTTGAACGGATTTGTCTCATTTCAAACAAATATAAACACAAGCGTCTTTCAGTATATTTTGTTTTTAAGGACAGTGAATAATTTTTTTATTTATACATTACTGTAACCTCTGATTTAACTATTCATTTTATATAATTAATATTTTGCTGTGTATCAGTTCTATTATTCAGAAATATTTGTTTCTATTTAGGTAAAGGCAAGCGATCCAGGACTTCTCTGTGGCTACATGCATTGTAGCACTGACAATGGAGTGTCTTGGTCCAAACTGTGGGTGTCAGCTCGCAATGATTTCGCTCTGTACACATTTAGAGCTCATGAGGTGAGCAGTTATTCCTAGTCCTATGTCCTGTTAATTGAAACATAACTACCGATTTATCCCTAGTCCTATGTCTGTTAATTCAACATAACTACACATTTATTTTTGTCCTATGTCCTGTTAATGAAACCTAACTATAGACTCTAATCACATTATTTACTCTATTCGAACATATACCCAGCATACGCATATAACCCCCACAAATTAAAAATAAATTATACAAAATTGTAGGCTACAACCCGCACCCTTTTATACCCCACATGTGCAAAACATGACTTGCTGTAAACTTGGCACAAATGATTTCTAGTATTTTAAAGATTCTCTGCTGCATCAGTACTAATGAGATTTATAATTAGATATTCATAAAACTTTCCAATGTACTTTTCACAACCACACAGTAAATTATGAGAGGTAGCCCTATAAAGACCCAGCGGTATGTCCTTAGTTTCCAGTATGCTAAGATTATGAATAAAATAAATTGTAAACCCCTCACCTTTGTGACCCTATACAGCTGCCATTCCTTTTTTTTTTTAAACATGTATAACCCGCGGGTTATATGGGCAAATATATATGGTATATTACAATTTAACTTTTTTAACTGTATGATATTAAAGAAAATAAAACTATTTGTCGGAATCTTACAAATTATGTTGTAAATTACAGATCTTACTTTAAAAGATAATTATGTCCAACGTATCTATGTGTTAGTCTAGTCATGCACGTTAATTAGAGACTTAAACAGATATCAATGATAAAACTTTCAATTGTTGCCACTAAAATCTCAGGATGTCAGTGCTATTGGTTCCTTACCATTACCTGGACATGAGGTGGAATGTTTTGGAGAGTATGAAAACAAGCAAAATGTGTTTGGTTTAAAACACAAGAATAAAATTGTCTTCTTCTTTCAAGCTGACAATGACAAAAAAATGAAAAGGTAAAGTAAATCCTTATCTTATCTTCTTATCTTATAAAATACAGATGTTACTTTAAAAAAAGAAGATGATAACATCCTAAGCGTATTCCTAGGTCGATCTAGCCATGCATCCTGGCTAGTTCATGCTCTAATAGCACTAGAGAAGAAGGAGTAATTAAACAGATTAGTCGAAGAAGGAGCATTTTTACAAATTTGTCCTAGCATATGGAACAAGGAATGTGTCTTTATCTTCATATTTTATTAGTTGTTTTTTTTGTATTTGAAGATATGGTTCAGTGCTTTATGTATAATTGCTACTGTACTGAAGGCTTTAAAAATTTAATGATCTTACTAAAGGTTTTACTCTAATCAAATGTGAATATTCATCACACTGCTCTACTTTGTGTCTATTCTAGTTTTTAAATGTTTTCTTGAGTTTAGGGGTCCCAAACAGAGGATGCCTATCTATTATTATTCAATAAAATTTTAATAGATACAGGGCTTTTTATGAGACATTCACTAAAAGAGCAGTTATTTTCATTATAAGTCTATTGAAGTTCAACTGGTGCATAAAGAATTAACAATGGATAATTTATATTTGGCCTTTAACATCAGTTTATTGACATTGTCATTCTCAGTGGATCCGCTGTATTTAAAATATCATTTCCTTGTTTTGTATCAACCTGATGTTATTAATTTGATTGAAACATTTCTTACTATCAGACTTCAGATTTAATTATATGAGTGCTTTAGACATTACTTTAGAAATAGAGAATATTTTCTTCTAGCCAATCTTATGCAAAATGGCAGGTATCTAAAACATGCAATGTAAAGTGATTATAAAGTGAAAAAAAACAACAACCATGGATAGATATAGAGGCCAGAAACATTTGAAGTCCATGTGTCACATCTGCAATGAAATTAATCATCATAAAGATCATCCAGCACAGCTGTTGAACTATAACTAGTACCTATGCACTAACCACACTAGCATTACCAAAACATCATTATTATCTTATTTAATATAATACAGACTTTACTTCAAAAAAGAAGATATGATTACTTCCTACGCGTCATGCATTTAGTCAGGCATATTAACCAATGACTTAAATTCTGCCAAGTCACTGGTTTTCTTAGCTAGCTCAGGCAACCCATTCCATGCTCTAATAGCAATGTAATGTAGGCTTGTCATCACTTAACATGATGAAATCTAGGCACCCTTAAAAGAAATACTTGAGAACACCTTCTGCATAACAAAGTAGTCTCAGAGGTGTATAGAATGAGAACAATTGCTTTAAAGGCATAGATTTTTTAGCAGATGGATAAATCTGTTTTGCCAGACTTTATTTAGCCAGTTGGTCATCTAGTTTTCTTGACAGTGATATGTCATTGGATACCAGCTAGATTTGTTAATTTTCTATTGAATCATAAATATATTTTCAATTTTTTTTGGGTTCATTTTGCTTTTCTTACTATTTATTTGGCATTTTATTACATAAAATGTGAACTTAATGCTTAACTATTTCATTCCATAGATGGGTTTCATTGTTAAGCAAATTGGTCAAAGCTGAACTACCAGAAGAATCCTCCAGGCTGTCCTCACAATCCAATACAAGTAACACATCATCTGACAACATTGCCACTGAAGGTGGCAACAACCGCAATAGCACGCACTCTGGCAGCCAGGCTGACTCAGGCTATCCTGGAGACAGTAACAGCAGTCTGGCAGCATTAGCCGCAGAGGACATTGACCATGAGAGTGCTGATGGGGTCAGTCAGTATGACAATATTGATGCTGTGGTCAGTGAATAGAAGCATCTTCCAGAAATGAAAGAAAATACAATAGATGATTGATGATTATTTATTTCAAAGTGTAGAAAGTCTTAAGGAGAATGTACCTATAAGAATAAAGAAAAAAACAGATTGAAACAGTTGGTATGTTTCAGCACATTTACACCTGTATCTTATGATAGAATATCTATATGAATGTTCATTTTCCTTATTCAGTTATCATATTTAGAGGGATAAACCTTTTTTTACCCTCATCAGGAACATCTATGCAAGCTTTTATCAGGACCAATATATATTTCCATGTCAACCATTGGTAAATTAGGTTTTGTAGTTTTAGTGAATTTTCTTTTCTAAATTTACTTTGTTAAAGTTTTTTTTTTTTTTTTTTTGGCAGTTCACATTATTACCATATTTACTATTTGCATTATAAATACCATGTTGAGAATAATACATGTTATTTTCATAATTTTGTTGCATTTTTTCACTTTAAACAGCACAAAAAAAAATCTTTTAGAGACATTTGGTCTATGGATTCAGCTCTGATATAATTTATTAACTAGTAGTTTGAAGACAAAAGCCTTGCCTTAATTACAGGCCTATTTTATTTGATTTTTTTAAACTGAAGATTTCATTTACTTATACCATATAATAAGCATATATTATTTGATAGTTATGCTATGGAATTTAGAAAGCAATTAGTAGTTTATTTAAGATTTGAACACACTCTTGCAATGTACTGTTATTTTAGCTGTTTCCAAACAAATAATCATATTTTATTAGAAAAATGGTAATGTAAAATTCCTTAATATACTTTTGGAACTATTAATCACATTTCAATGCTGCTTTTAGGTGATTTGTAGTTAAAATCACAAAGCAATAAACAATTTATAGATTAAAGGCTTTTATTGTTATTTTGTTTTGTTACATGCAATGTGAAAAGTATTTTTTTAAATAAGAAAATACTTGTCAACTCTAGTGTCTGTATTTGCATTGGGAACTTGGTGTCAAGCTGTAATCTGTTATTTTATTGCTATGTGCTCCATCTAAAAAATAATGCTACTGTACTTTGTGGCCAAAGTTACGAGCTGTATTATGCCTCTTTTTTTTCTCGACATGATAATTACTTGATGGCATTTGTATATAAAAACTGTGCAATATTTCGTCGTATTCTGTGACCATTATGTTGTGCATGTTGTGGACTGAAAGATGCTTCTCTGAATTCCATGTTTTTTGCTGTAACCAGTTTGAAATTTTTAAAGGGTTTACTCACAGACTCTATCTATTGGAGCCTATGTATGTGTTTAGCTTTCTGTGATGGCTGTTTAGCTTGACCCACAATGTACAATGTATTTTTTGATTTTTTTTTCCCTTTCTTGTTTTTGCACATTTTTTTCTTTGCTGTATTAATATTTTGATGTTGTGGAAAGTCAAAAAAAAATTTTTTTTCTGATTTAGTTGTCAAAATAAAATAATATTTAAATGTATTTTAAGATGTAGAACAAGTAAGACAGTATTAATATGGTGATCTTTCTATTTATTTCAAAAGCCTGATTATTGCTTTAATGTTATCCGCTTGTAAGCCATGTATGATCAGCTGCTAACTTCCAATGTGAATTATTCTTCATGTGTGAATCTTAATCTTCTGACACTCTAAATTTACAATCATGTAAATGTTAGGACAAAGGTCTGTTTCCAAACCATGTAACTGATGATTATGATTTAAAAATTTTAATTTTCAGTGGCCTACATACTTAGTATTATGTTAAATTTCTTTGAACTCAATATTATTAGTTTTTTTTCTATTGCTTTATGTCTGTGAATCCCAAAATATGGCCCACATCCGCCCGCAACGTTTCCTCCACTGGCCTGCCAAAAGGTTGGCACAAAGCATACAAACAGAGATAACTTTCAGATATCCCTCAAATGAATGTAAGACTAGATCCACAGGTTTCTAATAAAATTGTTTCAGGCCAAGTTTATTTCATTTTTTGTACATTTTTCGGTCATGTGGCCCGCGACATGAGGGCCGGAAAAATATTTTGGCCCACAGGTCGAATTAGGTTGGGCATCACTGCTTTATGTTGTTAAGTGTATTTTTGTGTAACTTTGGCTATAGGTTTATATTGTTTAAATGTGTACATTACATCAATCAAGGAAAACTTCCAAATTTTATCTACAGCCTAAAAATATTTGCAAATATTTAAATGTTATTTACAGATTCAGATGTAGGTAGCAAGTAGATTTTGTGTGCTGTATGATACCCTAAGTATATTTTAAATATATACATCTTTTTTTCTATGTTTGTATCATTCGGTTTCATAAAGTATTTCAAAGCTTTGCATAATAGAGATTCTATTACTTACTAGTATCAATATTTTTTCTAGAAGTATTTTAGCGTAGGAGTATTTAAAAAGATGTTTATTGTGTATAGTTTATTTCATTTAGAACCAAACATTCATTGAATATTTTAAAATTTCCCTAGTGAAGCTTATGACCTAAATTATATTGATACAAATACAGAAGATTGAATGTGTCCAGGGCTATAAGATACTTATCAAAGTTGATTTCTTCCATTCCATAGTGTGTCTATTTCATCTCAGTGTGTATTCAAGTGGGATTTTTTTTTGTCTTAGTTAAAAGGAATATTTTTATATAAACATTTCGATGAGAAACACAATGAAATTTGTCTGCTATTGTTGATTTGAATTTAAATTATATTATTTATCATCCAGAAATTATTCCCATATTTTTTATGTTTTCCCTCATGTAAATACTATACATATTTAATGCAAGATAAAACTAGATATGAATGTTAATTTTAATTTTGATACACTTCGTATACATTAAATACATGTTCTACAGACATTCTTTTCTTGCTTATATATATAATGTTTTATAGTTAATGTAACTTTTCATAGTTCAATTTCTAAATTGATATCAGCAATGTAATTTTACTTAAGAAAAACAATCAAAACTAACTTCTAAAAGAAAATATTTGAACAAAAAAAAAAAAGGTTGTCATCCTAAAGTTTATACCTTAAGTGTATCTTCACTTTTTGTGGTTGTTTCGTGCAGAAACCAAGTCTTTTTTTCTATATGGAGATCAAAGGTATTTTCAACATTTGTCTGTTTCATTCTGCATCGCCGCAAAAAATAGTCAAATCCAATGGAATTGACCATCTCCACATCATCATACAGAACTTATTGGGGACCAGATGTGGCCTCCTGGCCATAGTTTGGGAATCACTGCTCTGGAACACTATACTTAGAGCAAAACTGATTTTCCATTTGAAGAAAAAAAAAGAATCTTGGTAGGATAGGATATATTATGAATAATTGCATCTTTTGTTTTACAAATCTTTGCTTTAGCATTGATTAGACAGTCATCAAATTTGTTGCTGATAATGATCTTAAGGATAGAAGCAATTTAGGATGAATCATTTCAAATGTTCAAGCTGCATCTGCCAAACTTCAATCCTATGGTATTACATGCTAATTATTTTTATAATCCAGTCCATATTTTCATTATCTAGTTCATAAATGGAATGATGCTTCCAAAATAGTTCACAAACATATAAATAATTTCTAAACAAATATAAATACTAGCACACCATTATAAGAAAATAAAAGGAAATGATTAAAAGACAATGATCAGATTGTATAATAGAAAACTTTGGAACAGTGGTGAGTTAGCAATTTTAGTTAGAAACTTTTAACATCCTTAGCTTATACCACCATTTCAGTCAAATACTATTTCTTTCCCTTGTTTGAGATACCAAACAGAAATTTATTACCTAACTTATTGGTTAATTTTTTTTTTATTGATTCTTGCATTGTCAGGTAAATAAAATAATTGTGCAAAATTTCAACGTGATCTGAGATTGGGTGATGGAGAAATAACAGAGACAGACAGAGTGAGTTGATATAAGCTTAGTAAAAATAACTATGAAATTATATAAACTACAAGTTACTTTATAAAATTTATCTAAAAAAAAATTTAAGTTTTTAAATTTAAGCCTCTGTTTCTTTGCTAGTGTTTTCAGGTGACCATGGACTCATTTTCTGACTGAAACATTGACAGAGCTGAGGGCCTAACATAATTTTCATATGTAGGTTCAAAATCCACATGTTCATTACTTCTTGTGACAGTCTTATCTAACTCACCAACTTCCCTTTCCAGGAAAGATAACTCTGGGCCATCACTTTTGGCATCAGTGCCAGTCTTAGTTTCACTAACAGAAAATTCACTTTTGACTTCAGAAGCTTTATTTGGAGCAGACTTGGTGCATTGTCTATTGCTTGCTGGCAAAAATGAGGAAAGTTTGGAGGAGAAGCTAGATTTATGAGAAATGCTGTGGGGAGAGGAAATTTGGACAGCACTACCGGATTCATCTTGATTTTCATGTAGGTTTTTGCTAATGACAAGAAAGCAGCCATCACAGACTAATCTTTTCTTTGATTGCTTGTATTCTATTGGAGCTTTCTTGCAACACCATTTACAAATGAGCTGCCATAAAAAAAAAAGATCAATAGTCACTGAAAAATTAAAATATATGATAACAATGATAATATATGATAATGATTATAATATTAAGGAATTGCTCATGTGAATTTTAAGTAATATAAATACCCAGCTATTATTTAAATATTTAGTTCTATCTGACACAGAGAAACTCATTGTAGTTATTTATACACATTATTTAATTTAAAATATTATTAGCTTCATTAGTCTTGCCTTCAGTAGCATAAAGATAAAAAATAGATATAATGTTGCATTGACAGAATCTTCTATAATTTTTATTTTAAAGAATTGTTCTTGAAAAACTGTCAAAAGAACTCAGAAAGTTCCATTTCAGAGCTTGTGATTTATAGGGCAGATGATGTAAAGGTCATCTGTTTCTGCGGCCTACATTTATCGAGGGTATAATGTGGCCAGCACAATGACCAACCACCTTTACTTTTATCCAGCTAATGTCAAGTAAACATAAGAGCTGGGTGGACTTAGAGGCGCCGAAAGACCCTAAAATTAAAAATCCCATTCTTCACCAGGATTTATCTTATCTTTTCTTATATAATACAGGTGTTACTTCAAAAAAGAAGATGACTACGTCCTACACATAATTTAGTCATGCATATTAACCAATGACCTAAATTTGAACCCAAGACCCCTAATTCAGTAGCAAGGCATCTTACAACTGAAAACTCTGTTGTTATAAACATATGGTAAAGTACATCTGTAAAGCCTATTTAACTATTTTGCATAACTAATCCTGTTAACTAGATGTATAATTCAATTAATTCAAGAAAGTGAGGGAATAAGGGAAACTTATCATTGGAATATATATAAACATAGAAAAACTTTGAACTAAAGAAATATATATTTATCTATATATAGACATATAATGTCATACAACCTTTCCACAAGATCTGCAATGGTGCCTTCTGTTGACAAAAGTAAATCTGTTCCGACATATCATGCAAGTAGTAGCCACATAATCAGGAACCCAGACTGGTCGTATTTTACCAAGATAACTGGATGCGCTCTGGGATTGATATCAAAAATGTATATAAAGTTACATCAACCAAAATTAACATAAGTTTTGTAATAAGCATTGCTTGCTAACATTACCTCATCATAAAACTGTAGGCTGATGTTGTTTAAAGCAGACTGTCTCTGTAGTTTCCTCGCTTCATAGTTTTTTATTGCTGAATCAATTATCTGTAAAGTTTTTTAAAATAGTTTTCATATTGAAATTTTAAAATGTAAATATAGGGTATGCTAGGAAATAAAAATCATTAGTATCAATGTTAAATGTCGATATAGACTTAAAATGATCAATAGGTTTATTAGCCAGCATGTTTTCCTTGGAGGCATAGTAGTTGAGTGGTAAAATGCTTGGCTTCTGAACTAGGGATCCCGGGTTTGAATCCTGACAAAGACTGGGATTTTTAATTTCTGGATCTTTGGGTGCCTCTGAGTCCACCCAGCTCTAATGGGTACCTGACATTAGTTGGGGAAAAGTCAAGGCGGTTGGGGGTTGTGCTGGCCACATGACACCCTCGTAACAGAAACAGATGACCTTTACATCATCTGCCCTATAGACCACTAGGTCTGAAAGGGGAACTTTTACTTTACTATGTTTCCCTATCTTATCATTTATAAATATATGTTGATTGCATTACTGAATGAATGGTCATCAGGGATTTTTTTTAGCAAAAGATACAAAATGAATTTTTAAAAATTAATTGCAGTTGTAATCAATGTGCATAAGGTTTCTTGCATTAAATAACAATTGTCCAGCAAAAAAGGACATTTACTACTGATATCTGTAAGGTCCATGTAATAAATAGATATAAAGACTTATGTTTTTTTAATGTTGATGTTCCTACAGAAATAAATACTATTACATCCAAGCACAAATCTCCTGGAGGATGACAGGGGTTGAGGCCAGACAATCAGGCAGCCATACAGACAGTTTAAAGTTAATTGTTTGTTTTGTCACATAATAAAAAAGGTCTATTTTATGTTTTTTTTTCAGTTACATTAAAATACTTCAATGTTTAAAGATATTAAAGTAACCAACCTGTATCCAGCCAAATGAGGACCTGAAAAAGAAAAAAATGTAACAAAAATGTAAGGGAGATCATGCACACATTTTGCTGTTATAAATGTTAAGGAACTATTTAATCTTCATTTGTTTAGATCTAGTTCTATTATCAGATATATGAAATATCAATTATGAGTTAATTACAGTATTAAAATAAAAACTAACAAAAAATTATCATTGATATGACACGTAGATTTACAATTATTTTGCAAAACAAACATGTCCTAAGCTAATGTATACTTATTATTTCCCTTTGTTAATCTTTGAAATAGTGAACCTCATGAATTTTAATTACTAAAATTGAAAAAATGTAACATTAATTCTTTAAAAATATAAGATACTGTTAAGTTTATTTTTTTCTTTTTTTTACAAATATTAATGATATGGGCTTATAAATAAAATAAATGATAGCTATGTTTTGTTCCTTTTTAAATTGAAAGAAAGAAAGTTGTTTTTTATAATGAAGAGCAATAGATTTCTTGAAATGTTTTCTCAAATTAAAAAAGCACTTACTTGTCATTCAGTTCAATTTTGATCATTTCATTGGATAACTCAAATGTGTAATCCAGCAACTTTAACTACAGTGAAACATAAACATAACAAATTATTTATAACTTGGTGAACATGAACTGAATCTGGCAGTCAAATTAAGTTGCATAGCCAATCCTAGAACAATTTGATTGTTAATTTCAACAGTGCAACATCAACTTTAAATATGATAGCATGAGATTTCAATTTCAGTATAACTATATTACTTTAAAAAAAGACTCTTTATGCACATGACCAAGAAATTCAATAAACATAAACTAATTTGGAGGCATGTTGGTTAACTGGTAAAGCATCTAGGGGTCTGAGGTTCTTATCTAAGTGAAGTCTGGGATTTTGAATTATTGAATTTTTAAGATGCCTCTCAGTCCACCCAACTCAATTGGGTACCTGACATTAGTTGGGGAAAATAAAGTTGGTTGGTCACTGTGCTAGCCACATGATACCCTTGTAAACCATCAGCTATAGAAATAGATGATCTTTACATCATATGCTCTACACATTGCAAGGTTTTAAGGGGGTACTACTTAACATAAGTAATTTGAGAGATTCCATCTTTAAAATATATTTTAGAAATTTTCATATTAAAAATGACAGGATAATAGG